GGGTTGTCTTTTGGTCTTGTTTATGGTTTCCTTTGCTGTGCAAAAGCTTTGAAGTTTCATTAAGTCCCCTTTGTTTATTTTTGTTTTTATTTCCATTTCTCTAGAAGGTGGGTCAAAAAGGATCTTGCTGTGATTTATGTCATAGACTGTTCTGCCTAAATTTTCCTCTAAGAGTTTGATAGTTTCTGGCCTTACATTTAAGTCTTTAATCCATTTTGAGTTTATTATTGTGTATGGTGTTAGGGAGTGATCTAATCTCATACTTTTACATGTACCTGTCCAGTTTTCCCAGCACCACTTATTGAAGAGGCTGTCCTTTCTCCACTGTACATTCCTGCCTCCTTTATCAAAGATAAGGTGACCGTATGTGCGTGGGTTTATCTCTGAGCTTTCTATCCTGTTCCATTGATCTATCTTTCTGTTATTGTGCCAGTACCATACTGTCTTGATTACTGTAGCTTTGTACTATAGTCTGAAGTCAGGGAGCCTGATTCCTCCAGCTCCATTTTTCGTTCTCAAGATTTCTTTGGCTATTCGGGGTCTTTTGTGTTTCCATACAAATTGTGAAATTTTTTGTTCTAGTTCTGTGAAAACTGCCAGTGGTAGTTTGATAGGGATTGCGTTGAATATCTAGATTGCTTTGGGTAGTAGAGTCATTTTCACAATGTTGATTCTTCCAATCCAAGAACATGGTATATCTCTCCATCTATTTGTATCATCTTTAATTTCTTTCATCAGTGTCTTATAATTTTCTGCATACAGGTCTTTTGTCTTCTTCGGTAGGTTTATTCCTAGATATTTTATTCTTTTTGTTGCAATGGTAAATGGGAGTATTTTCTTGATTTCACTTTCATATTTTTCATCATTAGTGTATAGGAATGCCAGAGATTTCTGTGCATTAATTTTGTATCCTGCTACTTTACCAAATTCATTGATTAGCTCTAGTAGTTTTCTGGTAGCATCGTTAGGATTCCCTGTGTATAGTATCATGTCATTTGCAGACAGTGACAGCTTTACTTCTTCTTTCCAATTTGGATTCCTTTTATTTCCTTTTCTTCTCTGATTGCTGTGGCTAAAACGTCCAAAACTATGTTGAATAAGAGTGGTGAGAGTGGGCCACCTTGTCTTGTTCCTGATCTTAGTGGAAATGTTTTCAGTTTTTCACCATTGAGGATGATGTTGGCTGTGGGTTTGTCATATATGGCCTTTATTATGTTGAGGAAAGTTCCCTCTTTGCCTACTTTCTGGAGGGTTTTTATCATAAATGGGTGTTGAATTTTGTCGAAAGCTTTCTCTGCATCTATTGAGATGACCATATGGTTTTTCTCCTTCAATTTGTTAATACAGTGTATCACATTGATTGATTTGCGTATATTGAAGAATCCTTGCAATCCTGGAATAAACCCCACTTGATAATGGTGTATGATCCTTTTAATGTGCTCTTGGATTCTGTTTGCTAGAATTTTGTTGAGGATTTTTGCATCTATGTTCATCAGTGATATTGGCCTGTAGTTTTCTTTCTTTGTGAAATCCTTGTCTGGTTTTGGTATCACGGTGATGGCGGCCTCATAGAAAGAGTTTGGGAGTGTTCCTCCCTCTGTTATATTTTGGAAGAGTTTGAGAAGGATAGGTGTTAGCTCTTCTCCAAATGTTTGATAGAATTCGCCTGCGAAGCCATCTGTTTCTGGGCTTTTGTTTGTTGGAAGATTTTAAATCACAGTTTCAATTTCAATGCTTGTGATTGGTCTGTTCATATTTCCTATTTCTTCCTGATTCAGTCTTGGCAGGTTGTGCATTTCAAAGAATTTGTCCATTTCTTCCAGGTTGTCCATTTTATTGGCATAGAGTTGCTTGTAGTAATCTCTCATGATCTTTTGTATTTCTGCAGTGTCAGTTGTTACTTCTCCTTTTTCATTTCTAATTCTATTGATTTGAGTCTTCTCCCTTTTCTTCTTGATGAGTCTGGCTAATGGTTTATCAATTTTATCTTTTCAAAGAACCTGCTTTTAGTTTTATTGATCTTTGCTATTGTTTCCTTCATTTCTTTTTCATTTATTTCTGATCTGGTCTTTATGATTTCTTTCCTTCTGCTAACTTTGGGTTTTTTTTGTTCTTCTTTCTCTAATTGCTTTAGGTGCAAGGTTAGGTTGTTTGTTCGAGATGTTTCCTGTTTCTTAAGGTAGGATTGTATTGCTATAAACTTCCCTCTTAGAACTGCTTTTGCTGCATCCCATAGGTTTTTGGTTGTCATGTCTCCATTGTCATTTGTTTCTAGGTATTTTTTGATTTCCTCTTTGATTTGTTTAGTGATCACTTCGTTATTAAGTAGTGTATTGTTCAGCCTCCATGTGTTTGTATTTTTTACAGATCTTTTCCTGTAATTGATATCTAGTCTCATAGCATTGTGGTCAGAAAAGATACTTGATACAATTTCAGTTTTCTTAAATTTACCAAGGCTTGATTTGTGACCCAAGATATGATCTATCCTGGAGAATGTTCCATGAGCACTTGAGAAAAATGTGTATTCTGTTGTTTTTTGATGGAATGTCCTATAAATATCAATTAAGTCTATCTTGTTTAATGTATCATTTAAAGCTTGTGTTTCCTTATCTATTTTCATTTTGGACGATCTGTCTATTGGTGGAAGTGGGGTGTTAAAGTCCCCTACTATGAGTGTGTTACTGTCGATTTCCCCTTTTATGGCTGTTAGTATTTGCCTTTTTTATTGAGGTGATCCTATGTTGGGTGCAGAAATATTTACAATTGTTATATCTTCCTCTTGGATCGATCCCTTGATCATTATGTAGTGTCCTTCTTTGTCTCTTGTAATAGTCCTTATTTTAAAGTCTATTTTGTCTGATATGAGAATTGCTACTCCAGCTTTCTTTTGGTTTCCATTTGCATGGAATATCTTTTTCCATCCCCTTACTTTCAGTCTGTATGTGTCCCTAGGTCTGAAGTGGGTCTCTTGTAGACAGCATATATATGGGTCTTGTTTTTGTATCCATTCAGCCAGTCTGTGTCTTTTGGTGGGAGCATTTAATCCATTTACATTTAAGGTAATTATCGATATGTATGTTCTTATTCCCATTTTCTTAATTGTTTTGGGTTTGTTATTGTAGGTCTTTTCCTTCTCTTGTGTTTCTTGCCTAGAGAAGATCCTTTAGCATTTGTTGCAAAGCTGGTTTGGTGGTGCTGAACTCTCTCAGCTTTTGCTTGTCTGTAAAGGTTTTAATTTCTCCATCAAATCTGAATGAGATCCTTGCTGGGTAGAGTAATCTTGGTTGTAGGTTTTTCTCCTTCATCACTTTAAATACGTCCCGAGAGTCCCTTCTGGCTTGCAGAGTTTCTGCTGAAACATCAGATGTTAACCTTATGGGGATTCCCTTGTGTGTTATTTGTTGTTTTTCCCTTGCTGCTTTTAATATGTTTTCTTTGTATTTAATTTTTGACAGTTTGATTAATATGTGTCTTGGCGTGTTTCTCCTTGGATTTATCCTGTATGGGACTTTCTGTGCTTCCTGGACTTGATTAACTATTTCCTTTCCCATATTAGGGAAGTTTTCAACTATAATCTCTTCAAATATTTTCTCAGTCCCTTTCTTTTTCTCTTCTTCTTCTGGAACCCCAATAGTTCAAATGTTGGTGTGGTTAATGTTGTCCCAGAGGTCTCTGAGACTGTCCTCAGTTCTTTGCATTCTTTTTTCTTTATTCTGCTCTGCAGTAGTTATTTCCACTATTTTATCTTCTAGGGCACTTATCCGTTTTCTGCCTCAGTTATTCTGCTATTGATTCCATCTAGAGTATTTTTAATTTCATTTATTGTGGTGTTCATCATTGCTTGTTTCATCTTTAGTTCTTCTAGGTCCTTGTTAAATGTTTCTTGCATTTTGTCTATTCTATTTCCAAGATTTTGGATCATCTTTACTATCATTTTTCTGAATTCTTTTTCAGGTAGACTGCCTATTTCCTCTTCATTTGTTAGGTCTGGTGGGTTTTTATCTTCCTCCTTCATCTGCTGTGTATTTTTGTGTCTTCTCATTTTGCTTATCTTACTGTGTTTGGGGTCTCATTTTTGCAGGCTGCCGGTTCGTAGTTCCCGTTGTTTTTGGTGTCTGTCCCCAGTGGCTAAAGTTGGTTCAGTGGGTTGTGTAGGCTTCCTGGTGAAGGGGACTAGTGCCTGTGTTCTGGTGGATGAGGCTGGATCTTGTCTTTCTGGTGGGCAGGTCCACGTCTGGTGGTGTGTTTTGGGGTGTCTGTGGACTTATTATTATTTTAGGTAGCCGCTTTGCTAATGGGTGGTGTTGTGTTCCTGTCTTGCTAGTTGTTTGGCATAGGGTGTCCAGCACTGTAGCTTGCTGGTCTTTGAGTGAAGCTGGGTGTTGGTGTTGAGATGGAGATCTCTGGGAGATTTTCGTCATTTGATATTACATGGAGCTGGGAGGTCTCTTGTGGACCAGTGTCCTGATGTTGCCTCTCCCACCTCAGAGGCACAGCACTGACTCTTGGCTGGAGCACCAAGAGCCTTTCATCCACACAGTGCCACCTGAGCAGGCAGCAAATCCACTGCCATTCTTTCCTTCTCAGTTTTCCTGAAATAAATTTATTCTTTTGTTTATCTCATATAATGAGAACCCCAGAAATGAGCAGCACGGGGTCAGTATAGCAGCTCCATAATGTCATCAGAGACCAGCCTCTTTCTGTTTCTGCTGCTAGAGTTGGAAGGTCTCCTGCAGAGGTGGGGGTGGCTGTCTGAAGCATACTTTTTATTAAAATTTTTTTTTAAGTTTTATTTATTTTTGGAGGGTTTTTTTTTTGAGTGTGTTTTTCATCCTTGAATCTAAACTCATACAGAGCATCATCTCTACCCTGTTTAATGATTTTGAAACATATTTTTTAATATATTAAAGTCTTTAAAGTTAGAGATGAAAGAGTAATAGCTATTTTTCTCATTGTTGAATTTTTCAAAGGCAATGCTATTGGTTCACTTATGATCCTGTTCTGGCACTAACTAAAAATGAAGCAATTCAGAGTGAGACACATACATTTTATTACATTCCAAATATTTTGAGACTATTTTTATTGAAATTTTATACTCAAATCATAGCTCTCTGGGAACAACCAATAAGTTAACATCAAAACACAGAAACTACTTCTAAGGTGGGAAAACGTCTATTTTCAATTGGCCTAATTAATACCTTATTCTCATCAAAAGGCAAAGTTATAGATAATTAAAAGTAGGTTTTCCCTCTTTGGAGGAAAGGGAGTATTGGGCATGTCCTGGTCACTTTTTCTTTCCTTTCTGTTTTTTTTGTGTGTCTGGAGCCGGGACCTTCTTTTCTGGCTCTAGCCGGATCGCGGCTTCCTCCGCAGCCTGAGACTCCAATCTTTGGCGCTCAGCTTCCAGTAACTTGTTTCTGTACTGTTCCCGGATACTGAAGATCTTCTGCCGGGCTTCATCTAAGGAGTCCTAATACAAACAAACAAACAAATAAACAGAAAACCCAAGCAAATAAGAGCCTTATTATGGTTCCATAAAAAACTGCACTCCCTTTCCTCAGGCCAACAGACTCATGTAGGAAATTATTGAAGAAAGATGAAAATTAGGTTATGGTCTCAAATGTCTCTTAGTGCATAAAACATGAGATATCAAAGGGCATATGAGATTTTACAGAATGGTAAATAGGAGAGTCAGTAGGAGAAAAATAAAGAGAAAGGTGAAGAAAGAAATGAGCAGGGATTCTGACAAAGCAACTATCTGCTCTAGATGAATTCAGGCCTAATCTGTATAAAATATGCAGCCGGTGTGTCTCTCACAGTAACTGTGCTCAGTAAATTACTAGTTCCCCATACGTATTCTAACCCTGACAAAATAGATCTGATTTGTACTTGAAGAACTTCAGGTGGTATCTTTTTTCTTCCTCTCACTTACTTCACCTTCACTTCTTAACGTGGCTGGTGCCACCGATTTCTGAGCCTTTGGGGCATTCTGTGTAGCAAACTGGGTTGACTCTTAAAAGAGTTTTTCTACTGCCAGCTTAGGATTTGGCTACTTCAAGTCTGTTAATGCAATCTTCCTTCAGCTACTTTCTGACTTCACAAATATTTTGCTATTGTCTCTGCTTCCATTCTTCCATTTTGTGGATAAATTTTCAATAGTGTATTTTAGAGGGATTTTAGGGAGTGAGTAAAATAGATGTGTATAATTAATTTGCCAATTTTCTGAGAAGTTGGGAACTAAATGTTTTCAAGACTTCTTTCTACCTGGTTACAATATGATTCTATGACACCTTTTTAATATTACAGAAGAATTTGTCGATTGTGATCCAAGTATATGCCCTTTTAGACTCACCTGAATCTCCCCGTACATCTCCAGAACTTGCTCCTTTACTTTAAGCCTTTCTTCTTGCTCAATATCACGAATGCTCAGGAGTCTGGTCCTATACTGTCGAAACTGATGGACCTCCTCTGCCTTTTGCATTGCCTGCTGCTGATTCAGCTCATCCGTTTGCAGCAGAGGATCAGTATTTGTTTTTCTTGATATAAAAACATCAGAAGAGATACATAAGTCATTTGGGAACTCTAGCATGAACTTTAGCACTCAAATAATTTAAAATCATATCAGTAGGGTGGTGGTCTGAATCAAATCAAATATCAGGAACAGAAAGAATAAATCATTATTTTTACATGGGCTAGGCTCCATTTATTAAGTCACTAATATTTTAGGAAATTATTTTAGGAAAATACCAGCAAAATTAGATGTACTATTTGAAGAGGCGTTTGTGGAATTGGTGTGCGAAGCTATGAGAATATTTTGTAGGTGTTTTCTTTTTAATTTATGAAGCTAAGTAGATTTGAAAATGTTTTCAAATTGATAAATGTGCTTGAGTAACTATCTCTATTAATTCTATTGTTCTTAAGAAAATTCAATCTAATTAAATAATAGCAGCAGGTATGATGGGATTTTTCTGCAGCTCAACTCCGCTTAACTAGGCTACAAATTAAATCTTTACAGAAAACATTTAAATGCTTTTATAACTGACTTAATAAAACATTTGCTAAATTTAATATATAAATTCTGTACTTCTAAAAATTCAAATACACTTAAAATATATTAAGCATTTAATTTCAAATTTTCTGTTGTTTAGCAACTGCCTATTGACAATCTATCCAAAATTCTGTGAACACAGATGTCTGCATTAACCATGTTTATTAAAACTTACCGTACATATTGACTTAAGTCTACACATTCTAGTTTTTTTCGAATAAGTTGGGGAGACATTTCCAAAATTGTTGGGGATCGTGAACGAGGCCCTGTTGTAAAAAAAAAAAAAAAGTCCTAGGCTTTCAAGAAAGAATCAATAATGACTAACTAAACGATTGTATATCTTGTTTAAATTGACAATATTTTGGACTTCCCTTGTTTAATATTATTTTAATGTGGTTTAATGACTTTATTGAAACATAATTATATTTTATGTTTATCCTCTAGCTGGTGTAACTATACTTACAGTTAAATGAAGGAGATGACAAAATGAATATAGAAAAAGATAAATATGCTCTATAAGAAGAGTAACAAAATTACTCTAATTACAGTTAAATGAAAGCAGAGACCTAAAAAGGTCATACTTTGTTACAAAATTTCATTATAAACAAGTTAAATAAACTAATATTTAAAGAGCTTGGTATATTCGTGAAAGCTGTGCGAAGCACTATGGGGGGGGATATAAAAATGTTTTAAGACACAGTATCCTATCCTCAAGAAAGTTTTAGTCCAGTAGAGTAGGCAATATATAACAGGTGAACGCTGAAAATCAAATATCAGGAGATTTTTACCCCATACACTCAAGAACCCACGAGAATAGTTTTAAGAAAGAAATTTTAGAGACTAAGATATTAACCATTCAGCCTTTCTAGCCCATTTAGTCTCTCTTTTTAAAAAATTATTGAAGTGTAATTTACATACCATAAAATTTACCAATTTTAAAAGTATAATTCAATATGTTTCAGTAAATTTACAGAGTTATGCAACCAACACCAAAACCCTGTTTCAAAACATTTCAGTTATCCAAATAAATTCTTTTGTGCCCTCTTAAAGTCACTCTGCATTCCCACCACAAGCCCCAGGCTTTCTGTCTCTGTAGATTTACCTTTCCTGGATATTTCATGCAAGTAGGAATCAAAAAATTAACTTTTTAAGAAACTGTCCAATCGTAGTGTTTTGATTATTGTTAGCTTCATAATAAATTCTGAAATCATGAAGGTAAAATCCTTCCTCTTGGTTCTTTATGAAAATTATTTTGGTCATTCTGGGTATTTGCATTTTCATATAAGTTTTGGGATCAGCTTGTCAAATTCTGTAAAATGTCTACTAGGATTTTGATAGAAATTTATAGATCGCTATAAATTTGATCTATCTAAATTCAGTATCTAAGTTCAGATACACTGAATTTATAGATCAATTTAGGGAGAATTAATATCTTACTATATTGAGTCTTCTAGCCCCAAAGCATGGACTGCCTCTCTCTTTATTTAGATCTTTCAAAATTTCCTTCAGAAATGTTTTGTAATTTCCAGTATACAGGCCTTGCACTTTTGTTAAATTTATTTCCATATATTTATTATTGATGCTATTGTGAATGAAATTGTCTTCTTAATTTCATTTTTTGATTGCTCATTGAAATGTAGAAATAAAAGTATATTAATCTTCTATCATGTGACCTCACCAAACTCACTTGTTAGTTCTAGATGATATTCTTGGTTCTTTTCCCATGATTTCTTAGGATTTTCAATATACAGGATCAGTTTGTCTGACAACACAGTTTTATTTCTTCCTTTCTGATATGGATGTATGGATAAAGTGGACATCCTATGTTCCTGAAGGTTGAAATCACTATATCTGCTTTGTTACACAGATCTCTTTATTTAATTTTTGGCTTACTTTTTGCTTTTCCTGACCAGTGTCACAGTCTCAAGCAGCTGTGATGTTGGCTATTCCAGTTGTTTGCCACCAAGTTCACTATTCCTTGCAACAATATCCATGGGCATAGAACTTTTCCATGGAGCCTCAAATCAGGTAAATCCTTTTTTAGCATTGGCAGCAAGACTGCTGGTTCTCCTGGCTACCACGCTACAGACCTTGGGGCTGGTGAGGAAACCCCACGTTAATATGCAATAGTTGGTAGGCTAACTGTGGTAGACAGACTAATGGACCTCCGAGGAGATCCATGTTCTAACCTCTGAAGCCTATGAATATGCTACCATACAAGGACTTTGCAGATGCAATTAAGGATCTCAAGATGGGACGATAATGCTGTATTAGTCAGCTGGCCTAAACCCTTGTAAGGGAAAGAGAGGAATGTAGAAAAGATAGAATCCAAGAAGGAGATGAAGTGATGGTCATAGAGGAAAGAGAGAGAGGGGGAAGGAAAGAGAGACAGAGGAATTTGAAGATGCTCTGCTGCTGGCCTTGAATATAAGGAAGGAGCCGTAAGCCAAAGAGTCAATGGTCCTAGAAGCTGAAAATGGAAACCGATCCTCTCCAAGGGCCTCCAGGAGGAATGCTGCCCTGCCAACAGCTTAACTTTAGAATTTCTGCCCTCTAGAACTGTAAGAAGTTTGTGTTAAGTCACTAAATTTGTGGTTATTTCTTACCAAAGTAACAAGAAATTTATCCAACTAAGTTAATTTATTTTTTTGTTTTTATTTTTAATAAATATTTTTCATTTAGTTGTACACCCTCAGAATTTTGAAACGTTTCTTAATCTTCTCCCATTTATCATTGCTTTTGGGGAGAGGATATGTCAAGTCTTCACTCTGCCATGCAAAAAATCCCGCCCTCCCACTGGCTGTTTAATCTTGCTTTTCACGTGTGGTTGGAATAGTCTCCAGGAATATTGTAGAGTGTTTAATTTATAACAACTTGTTAAAAGGGATTATTCATAGAAATATAATCTAATGTAAAACTTTAAAAATGTAAAAAACAGTAACATCAAATTTTTCAAAACTATTTTTTCAAAAATATCATGCTTTTATAGGCATGATGCCCTTGAGAAATAAAGAATATAGTAGGACAAACCCTAACTCTGCTCCATTATTGAAACATAAATTCAGTCATGTTTTTCACTTTATAACATTAAATAAAACATTCCTGAAATATTGCATCTTATATACAATATGACTCTTCTAGAAACCAGTGGTTAATAACTTTTCTTTTTTCATCATGGTTGCTCTGTGATCTTAGATTTCTAAAGTTCATTTGTTTTTCTTATGAACCTATCTACTTTTGTTGCATATATTTTTGGCATTTCAAACTTGAATTGTTTCTGAAAGACACCAACTCCGCTGACTCTGACTGGAAAGAAAATGTTTTTGATTAATTGGATATTTGTGTTCTCTTGCATCCTGCCAAATAATATGTATTTAAACAGGGAGGGTATAAAAGGGGAAGAGAAGGTTAATCTTCATTTTCACTTATAAAATTGTTGTATCAGAATAGGGTGTAAGTGTAGTATGATCTTGGACCTCTAAAACAGTGCAACTCCAAGTGTGTGCCCATGCATGCATGTGTGTGTGTGCACGCATCGTCCATCTGCAAACTGGTACTCTGTGGGATAAGCTCTGAAAGTGAGAGTATGCATTTAGAGATATTTTTTACAGCAATTGGTCATCACTGGGTCACTTTATTATATTTTATAAAAGTTTCAGTTTGCAACAGAATCGGCAGAAAACTTCTTTCATCGTAGATTGTAAGAAAATAGCTGTTTAAAAGAAATGGTGAAGAATAGTTTGACTGATTGATTGATTGTGAAGCCTGGGGAAAAGATTGGGACTAAAGACAAAGATCACCTCCAACCTTCAGAAGAGGCACTTTCCAGAGGCCTCCAGAAATTAAAGGGAGGTTGAAAAAGCAAAGTTTGAACTCTTGACCTTGATGATGGCTTGGTGTTGAGAAAGAATGCATAAGAGTGAAATCCATAATGATATTATTTACATGTCCTCTGGCATTATGAAGGAGGTTGTTCTAAGTTACCTACTATATATGAAAATAGAAAGTAGCAAGAATAAGGTAGCATTTTGGGAGTCACAAATAAATGAGTACATAAATATACATATATGTATATGTATATAAATGTAGAGGCCAGAGCATGTAAATCTCTCACAAGGACTGTAATCTCCTATGGGCGATGCTTCCTCAGGAGTGAGGGCCAATCTGTGGTGCACCAACAGCAGAGGTGAGAGCAACACACAAAGTTCCAGAGAACAGCTAGATAGCCGGACCCATGATTTTCAAGCAGGATTCCTTCTACAACAACAGTACGTGGGGTACATGGCAGTGTTTCAGTGCTATAGGATGTACTAGAACCATACAATAGCACACCTCTTCTTGGTGGGAGGGGGAGTAAATTTCTTGTTGACGGTGTGTAATTCAACTTATCATATATTGAAATAAAATTGTAATAAAACATACTTAAGAATGCTTTGAAGCATTTTTTGCTTGAGGACAGCAAAAAATTAAAATACAATTGTAATATATTAAAATAAAATTGTAATAAAACATACTTAAGTTATATTAAAATAAAATATATTTAATAAAATATAAAATTAAAATATATTAAAATAAAATTGTAATAAAACATACTTAAGAATGCTTTGAAGCATTTTTTGCTTGAGGACAGGCTGCTTTGGCCTCTAGGTCTTCCACCCCTGCTCACTCTTATCTTTCTTCTCTGTTTCCTGACCCCTCCTTATTACCCCAAAATGCACCCCAATTATGGGTTAATATCTAAAATATATAAACTGCTCATACGACCCAATATAAAAAAAACAACAACCCAACAACCTGATTAAAATGTACAGAAGACCTGAATAGACATTTTCCCAAAGAAGACATACAGATGACCAACAGGCACATGAAAAGATGCTCAATATGCTAATCATCAGAGCAATGCAAATCAAAACCACAATGAGGTATCACCTCACACCTGTTGAATGACTATCATCAAAAAGACTACAAATAACAAATGTTGGCAAGGATGTGGAGAAAAGGGAACCCTTGTACACTGCTGGTGGGAATGTGAGTTGGTGAAGCCACTGTGGAAAACAGTCTGGAGGTTCCTTGAAAAACTAAAAATAGAGCTACCATATGATCCAGCAATTCCACTCCTGCATGTATATCTGAAGAAAATGAAAACACTATTTCAAAAAGATTCATGCACCCCAATATGCACGTGTTCACAGCAGCATTATTTACAATAGCCAAAATATGGAAGCAACCAAAGTGTCCATCAACAGATGAATGGATAAAGAAGATGTGGTATATATATATATAAAATGGAAAACTTTGTGTTAGAATAGAGATTTTAGAACATTTTAGAAACCAAATATTTAAAATTTGTTATAAAAGATGTAGTATGCTATAGATAAAACAAAAAGAATCTGTTTTTAGTGACAATTGTATATGCGATCTGTGCATTTTTAGTATTCGTAGACACAGAAAACTGAAAATATAACTGCTACTTAAAACTATGTGAAAATATAACTGCTACTTAAAAATTTTTAAATAAATTTCCCACTTTTATCTTTAGGTTAAGTATTTAGTAATCAGGTCCTTGAGCAGATTACCAACTCTGATAATCAAAATGAAGACCTGTACACATATTTTTCTATGTTTAACCCTAGTCATCACGTGCTTAACTATCTTTTCCAGAATTTTTATTTTAAGATATGTGTTTATCCTACCAATAAAGGCAATACTTACTGATATTTTCCTTCTGCATGCTCTGCTCATGCTCTTCCTTCCCTGTGGGGGATGATCCTTCACTTTCACTACTTGTTGATTTTGCCAGATCCTTGAAGCCCTTGTTTGTCTGCCACTTCTTCCACAGCATACTCCCTGTTAGTATAGTCTCTCTGTTATCTAAACTCATGGAACTCTTTGTATCTGACTCTTTTATGGCACTTGAAGATGTTTCTACTAAATATGGTATATGCATTACCGAAAAAACTTGCATTCTATGAAATCACATACAAAAATAGCGAGACATAGAATACATAAATACGTAAAGTTCAAAAACAGGAAAAATTAATTCACGGTCATAGAGATCAAATTGTTACTTTCAGGAAGGAAGAGGCTGGGAAAGAGAATGAAGAGGACTATTGGGGTGTATTAAGGGTTTTTTGGTTTTTTTTTTGCGATGTGTGGGCCTCTCACTGCTGTGGCCTCTCCCTTTGCGGAGCACAGGCTCCGGACGCACAGGCTCAGCGGCCATGGCTCACGGGCCCAGCCGCTCCGCGGCATGTGGGATCCTCCTGGACCGGGGCACGAACCCGCGTTCCCTGCATCGGCAGGCAGACTCTCAACCACTGCGCCACCAGGGAAGCCCTATTAAGGGTTTTTTATCTTGATCTAAATGGGGTGGCTCCTGAATATACACACATATGAAAATACATCAAGCTGTGCAATTAAGATTTGTGCGTTTTTTGCCTGTATGTTACATGATAAGGTCAGCCTTCTCTGAGCTCTGTTCTCCCCTAGGCCTTGTCCTTGACTTGTGATGAATCCCAGTTTTAGCCAGGAATCCTGCCAAACTAGTTTATCAAGAATCCCCCTACTCTTGATATCCAATTAAACTCCTCTTCCTCCACACTTGATATTTAATCAAATTTCTCTTCCCTGACCTTTGATACCTAACCAAATTCCTGTAAGTAATTTTTCATCCACTCCCTGCTAGTTAGTTTTAAATCCTCACTTGTTTCTGTTGTTTTCAGAGTTGAGTTCAATCTCTCCCCTATTGCAATAGTCATAAATAAAATCTACTTTGACATTTTTAACGTGTCCAGTGCAATAAATTTCCTTTTACATACAAATTAGCACAACATTTAAAAAATTAATAATAAAATCTAGAGCCTAAAGAACAAGAACTCTATTCTATTCACCTTTATATTCCTAACATTACATTAAACTCTACCAATTAGAGGAGTGAGTACTTTAGGAGTTAGAAATATTTCAAATCCCAACTTGGTCACTCTTTGGATGTATGGCATAGGAAGAATAAGGTGACCATCTGAGCTTTGGTCTCTAAATCTACAAAATGGAAATAGTAAGGTCTACCTCATAGTTGCTGTAGGTTAAAGTGAGATAATAAACATAAAGCACTTTGAGCAGTGCCCATCCCAGAATAACAGGATTGGGGTGATATTTATTTTTTATCCCCTTCACATGAAATGTTAAGGGATGTTACTTTTATAACAATTATTGAGTTATACTCCTGAAGATGTAAAAGTGGAAAAGCACGATTTGGGATGTGAATGTCTTCAGCCTCCCTGGACAACTCAGCATGGTGATAGATGGAGGTATAGCCAAGTGTTTGTGGGAAGAGCCCTGGGGTGATGGAGAGCTCTGTCTGCATGCTGCCTCTGTCCCTGGGTAGCTTGTGAATTTAGCAAATTACTCTGGGCCTGGGTCCTTGCTGGCAAGTTGGAAATAATATTTATATCAGTGGGTTGATGTGAGTATTGGATGAAATAATTCGTATTTTATAGCTCCAGGCCCATGGCAAATTGTTCACTGAATGTAGTTAGCTTTCTTACTTTGATTCTTATTGCTATTGTTTATTGCTATTGCGATTAGAAAGGTGTCAGATTTATAGTTGTGAGCCTGCCTTCAAGTTCACATACTGCTACCTTCTAATGAGGGTTTCATCTTTTTTTCATCTTATTTCTGGTTTCATGTTTTCTTAAATGGGGAAGATTATATCTACTTGGGGACAAAGTGAACACCTGCTTGGTAAAAAGAAAATGCTTGAGAATCTATTTTCTTACAAAACTGTCTATAACTTTACAATCCTATAATGAAATAGATTCTGAAATTTTTCTTTTTACCAAGCATGACTTGCTGACTAGCTTTGAAGAGGTGCAAGTAACAGCTCCGTGCTTGGGGCAGCTGGGGTAGGGTTCACTGACCTTCTTCCCCTTCTTTGGTTTGGCTTTCAGACATAGGCACACACTCAGCATCAGGTGTTTTCTTAATGAACCGGCTGAGATAATGGAGACGCGCCTGGGCAGCCTAAAGGACAGACATTATCAACACACATTACAGGCAACACCATCTCAACAGTACTCAAAAGACACAGGAAAATGTGAATGAATACGGCAGTCTGAACTAGACTGGCTCTTATGAATTACCAAAGAAAAACTCCAATTCTGAACCATCCATGATCTTGACAGTGATTTGTGAGAACTAATGAAGAAGTCCTAAAACTCATACGCTGTGCATGCTAGCTTAGATCCAGGTGCTCCTGAACCTTTTTCATCTGCCTCAATAACCCTGAGTTGGGGACATGAAGCACATATAAATAATAATGTTTCACTATGGCAATGATCCTTATCTCAACTGTAGAGAGGAGGAATCATGAGGTGTGTGTGTTCCACAGGGACAGCACAGGATTTTTCTCTAAGCACATGAAAGCACATATTAAACATCTTTATGCTTTCTTAGTTGGGAGTGTTAAGGACAGAGAGTGTTAATCCCAGATGATGTGAAAGGACAAGGCTACCTACAGTTTGGGCCATAAGTGGCACCATTATGTGCTTTGCTTTTGAAAGTCATCTGGGTATCCGGATAATAACATTTCACAGTGTGTTCAAATGTGGTCTTAATATTTAGTTAGTTGATGCCTGACAAAATTCCAGATATTTCCTAAAGGAAAGACTATGTTGTTTCACCAGTATGGCTCTTGCTTCAGACCACGCCCAGGAATGAAAGGTAAAAGGACAACTTTTCAAACTCAGGTAACCTTGATCGATCTTCCTGGTTCAGTCATCTCCCAGGCCTGCTTCATGGCTCGGATTTCATCTGCTCGTTCTGTATCTTTTTTCACTTCAAAAAAGTCTGCTTCATTGTATTCAGTGACCAACCTCAAAATCCAGTAGGGTTTATTTGGGTCTTCTTGTTGAGGGTGAGCAGTGGATATCTGGCAAAGTAAAGTAAAAACCTTGGGGTCAGATGCTTTCCTCCTTTCAAAAGGATCTATATTTTACCCTATGACCCATAATTTCACTTAAGTATTTAAGCCAAGAGAAAGGAAAACATATATTCACAAAAGGATTGGAAAAGAATATTTATTATAGCCTCATTCTTATTAGCCTAAAAAGGGGAAGCAATATAAATATCTGTCAACTGATGAATGGATAAACAAATTGTAGTATGTTCATACATGGACTACTTAACATTAAAAAGTAATAAACTATTAATGCATACCACAGTGTGGTTGAATTCCACAGACAGACATTATACAGAAATAAAGAAGTTGAGCACAAAAGAGTACTTCTTATATGAATCATTTGTATGAAATTCCAGAACAGGCAAAACTTGGCTGGGGGAGAGGTATGGGGATGACAGAATCCACTGCAAAGAGGTTTAAGGGAATTTCTAAGCTTATGGAAATGGTCTATAATCTAAACCTTGATAGAGATGTGGGTTACATGGTGAATTCACTTGTCAAAACTCACTGAATTGCACACTTAAGATTGTTGCATATCACTCTATGCAAATTTCACCTAAAAACTGTAAATAAAAATAATTTTAAATTGCACTTAGGCTCACTCATACCATCTCTTTACAAGAATGAGGGCAAGAATAGTTGATCATTTCCAAGCCTGGATATACTTGATATATATTCATTAGAAAAGTTAACATTTTGCCGTCTTGTAGGATCACTTTCACAGACCTTAGGCTGGGAGCAGATTGACATAGGACTTGAAAATGTCTAGATAAGTGAGGCTTATTGGTAGCAATCTGGTAAGGAGACGAGCTTGAGTCTGATGAGGTTACTAGCATTTTACATAAGACTGAGACAATGTCAATAATCCATATTACATAACGCAGATGGGGAAGTGGAGATTGGGGGGCCACTGAATAAAGTTTTCACGTGTAGTTTGGTTTTAAGGTTATCAAAAGACCTCCTAGCTTTCTGCAATATTCCCTTAATATTCTGATGAAAATTTAAATCTCACAATTGGATATTCTTTTATTTCTTCCTTCTAAAACACAGTACATAAGCTTTTACCACCTTTTATATTGCTTGATAAGTGAGTTTTTCAGAAACTTCTCTGGGATCAAGTTTTGATTAGGGAAGGGAACACTATGAGGGACTAAGGGAAGGCCACATGTCTATAAGAATTTATGGATTGAATTTAGCTTATTTGCTTTAAACTTGAATGGTTTTGTTGTTGTTAATGATAGGACTGTTTTCTCAGAAAATTCAAATAATTGATTTTATAAACTGGAGCTACATCTAGAAAAGTTAACACACAGCATTATCTTGAAGTTTCAAGGGGAAAAAAGTGGTTGACTGGAACTTCACCTATGTTTTTGAGCAAAACAATGTTGAAAGAAACACATTTTGAATAGAAAATTTTATCTGGCTCTTTCATATATCAAACGTAATTGTAATTTGACAGAGAGCGTTCCATTTGTCTGCATTTGTTTAGATGATATTACACTAAAAGGCAGTATTTGGATTGTAGAATGTAGCGAGTGAGAACATAAGTAATATAAATTTAAGAAGAAATTAGCTTTTCCATATGAAATAAAATAAAGGATCAAATAAATTCAACATGATTCTGGTGACTAAAGCAAAACTACAAAGTATATTATTATAGTTTTTGGTTTCCTGTTTGGCCCATATGTTAAACTTTCAAACATCAAACAATATAATACTAATAGCTACTAAAACCAACTAGCACAATATTAAGGTTCCTAAAGCTTAGTTCATTTTTAATGTCATAAAAACCCAATTCCCATGTGAATTCTGTAACCAAACATACCTTTTGTGCTTCACAAGATATTCTAAACATTGTCTCTTTCAGGATTCCCTAGAATTCATGAGTATTTGAAAGTTAACTCAAACTGAATCCCACAATTCCTTACTAAATTTGGTGGATCTTCTGAACAGGCTTTCATTTTGGAGAATATGCATACATTCTTCAAAATTTTGAAAAGAACAGAGGCTTTCACACATGTCAGTTTTTAGTTTCATCCAATCATTAGTTTTCTGAAGAACTTTTTTCTTGACAATATTTTTGCAAGTTTTTAATTTTTTTTCTTCATTTCTTTCTATGTACTTCAACTCTTTTACCTGCAGCTTATCCAGCTTTTCATTTTAACTTTCATCTAGAGGTAAAGATTTTACGCATGACAAGATTGAATCTAAAAATAGGTGTCAGGAAGTAATATAATAGATCATCAAGTATTATATGGGTTTCTTCTCTATCTGTAGCACTGTTGATAACTTTAGACAGTTCAAGCTTGTGTATGTCACCGTGTTTCTCACATCACTCTCATGATGTCCAATGTCCTACGCACTCTAATGGTATGTCTGGCCAAAGACATTTACACTCATGCATTGCTAATGCTGAGGGGTTATTCGGAAGCAAATCTCCATTGTGATGAAGATCATTTTCCAAATGCACACTTTGCAAAGTAGCCTGGAGCAGCAGATATGGCTCTAGTGGCCTTCCACATCTTATACTGACAGCCTCCCAACTGGTAAGAGTTGATTCCAGGAAAATGACCATAGTTTCAGAAAACAAAAGTTGTTGGCACTTTCCCTCTGTTTACCATGGTAATTACTGCAGCTACCTTAGGACTTCTGGGATTTCTTGCTGTTTCTATCATTGGTGTGTATCCCATTCTATCCTTAAGAATATTTCCCCAAGTTTGACTGTCGTAAAATGCAGGGCTCCAACTCATTTTGACTGTTCCAACAATGACATTTTGTGAAAACACATCTCATCCTAATTTTCGATAAAGTTCCTCACATTCATCCAAGGGCATATGAAACAGCCCCAACATGAAAGCTAATATGGCACCTGTACTTCCACCACAAATGCAGTCAGAGGGCTGGTGAACTGGCTTCTGAGTGAGTTCACCTGATTTCCGCAATGTCTAAAGAGCAACCACACCCCTTGTTCTTCCATCATCGATTGTGCGAATTAGGATTCCTCTTTCTTTCACTGGATTCATGCAGGCAAATTAAGGCCAGAATTTCTCTAACTGCAGCCTGAAGAATGCCATCCTTAATTTGTCTCAGTCATAATAAATATGGAATAATTCTTTCCTTGGCAGCCACTCCTTTTCCCTCAGGAAATTCTTGAAGATGAAAAGTCAGTTGTTCAACACTATTAATGCAGAGCTTTGGCTCAGTTGTTCTTAATGCTTGAATAAATGCCCAGGTTCTGTCATCAATACTCATCCTGGCAATCTTGTCTTGTTGAAGAGATAAACGCTTTTTCTTCTCTCCGTTTTTGTTTTTGCTAATAGTCTGCTCAGTTTTTAACTGCCTCTTCCTGTTCTTTGGACTGAATCATACTTTAATTTGGGAATGTATCCACCAATTTAACCACCTACACTAAAGTTTGTACACCTTCAGTGGGATGAGAAAGAGAGTTAGCTGTACTTTGTTTAGTAGAAACTAGAAGAACCTCATTTGTCCTCTTCTTCCTTCCTCTGACCTGTATCTGGTACAGCTTGTACTCTTTTGTCTGGACCATTGCAGTGCTTTCTGGTGGTTTTCCCATCTCTTATCTTTTCCCCTTTAATTTCATACCCTTAAAAGTCACCAAGGTATCTGAAATGTAAATCTGATCATGTCAGTACACTTCTTAAAGTCAGTACACTTCTCAAAGTCCCACCTCCCAGCCCTGTGTAGCCTAAGCTGTGATCACAAATGATAGGAAGATTTTGTCCTCACAGGTAATTTGTTTTGAGTTCAGTGTTTTTAAATAACTTGAATTTGAGTATCTTTAGGACTCTGCTTGCACTCCTCAAACTTGCCACCCACATACTCTTCCTTACCCTTAATCATTGGGATTACCTATCTGGTCCTGAAAAAATTTGGAATCAGGACTCCTGGCTTGTAGATAGAGTCCCAGCTTTCTAACCAGGCTTTCTAAAAGGCTACTCTCCACCTGACCCTTACTTACCCTTCCAGCCTCATACTCCATACCTTAGTGGCTCAAAAACCAAATTGTGTTGGATTTTTGCCTCTGAATGTCTTTGCTCACTGATTCAGTTCAGGACTTCTCTAGGCAGAGGCTGAAATAGGTACCTATCCTTTCTACCCTGTGCATACCATATCTAACATTACAACTCTCTCTTTACTTTCAGTCTCCTCCATTAGACTGTGAGTTCCTTGAAGGTAGGGACTTTATAATATTAATATTAGAAACCCAAGTCCCCAAAACAGTGTCTTACATATTAAAAGCTCAATTAACGCTTTTTGACACTAAACTAAGGAAGACTGCTTACAGAAGGTGCCCAAGGAATGTCTTTAAGGTATCTAGATGATTGCTGGAAACAGGGAGATGGAATTTTTCAGGTTTTACTCAAAAGATATGGGAAAATAGGGACCCCATGAATCTAAGTTTATTAAATGACTCCAATAAAAAAAGCATCACACCCACCTGAGGCTCAAAGCGAGGCACTTGTTTTTCTTTGGCTATCTTTTCTTTCTCAGAAGACTTTTCTTTGCCTTTCCTTGTTGTTTTGGAAGTTCCTAAAGATTTTTGTCCCTCACTAATAGTGTGGGAATCTGGACTTCCAAAGGTAATTAATTCCTCATGTTTCTCTCCATGTGCTAGAAAAACAAAAAAAGGAAACCAGTGAGTCATGATATAATAATAAAATCATGTCATGTAGGAAAAAGGGAAGAAGTTGGAAAAATGGTTAGTCTAAGGCATCTGGATTTTTTTTCCTTTTTTAAACAAGCAGGTAAGCAAACAAGCAGACAGACCTTTTATAAAGATCTGTGTGACTCTCTTTTATACAATTGAGAAATAATTCACATACTATAAACTTCTCATTGAAATGTATAAATCATGGTTTTGGTTTATTCATAAGGTTATATAATGATCATTACTATCGAATTTGTTTCTGATCTGGATGCTCTCAGTTCATTTTCTTGCCTAATTGCCTTGGCTAGTATCTCCAGTACAATATTGAATTGAGTATTCTCTGCTTTAATATTTATTATTCCCTTCTTTCTGCCTACTTTGGGTTTACTTCTTTTCTTTCTTTTCCAGTTTTCTAGTTTTTTAAGGTGGAATATTAAGTTATTGATTTGAGATCTTTGTTCATTTTAAATGTAAGCATTTATAGCTATAAAGTTCTCTCTTAGTACTGTTTTCATTGTATCTCATAAGTTTTGGTATGTTGTTAGTTGTTTTTCATTCATCTCTAAGTATTTTTAAATTTCCCTTATGGTGCACTTTATTTCTTCATGTGGATACAAGTTACTGCATAGTGTCCTTTGATTTCAGCCTGAACGATTTCCTTCCGTATTTCTCATAGGGCAAGTTTGTCAGTGACAAATTTTTTCAGTTTTTGTTTTTCTGGGAATGAGGCTTTGAAAGAGATTCAGTTCCATTTTCCTGTACCAGGAATACAGGCTGTTAGTTTTCAAGGTTACTGCTGAGCTGGAGACCAGGGGATGGGACTGAGGCAAGTAAAAATGTCATAAAACTTACTCTTCTTAAAGGGATATGGCTGTTTTTCTTGAATAAAGCCTTTGTTAATTTCCAGAATTCTGAAAAGTTGATTCTGATCATCTCTGCCAGTTTTTTCATTGTTTTTATGGAGGAGTAAATTTTTGGAGTCCTTTTTCCTGCTATTTCCATTGGTGTCCTCCTGGATTTCTCTTCTTATTTGAAGCTTCTGAGTTATCTCTGCATGCTGTTTGTCTGGGGCAGAGTCATGAGAGAATGGAGAACTCCCATAGGCCAGGTCTCTCACAGCTGCCTGGAGACCTTGTCATGAGGGCATGAAATATCAAAAAGCTCTGTGGAGTATGTGAGATTCCATACTAAACAGCTCAGCTCTTGAGTGTGATGAGCAGGCAAAGAAAAAAGTGGACTGATTTAACTTGTGAGCAGAAAAGTGAAAATAATGAGACCACAGAATGAAAATAAGGTTAAGAGTAAGAATGAGGCACAAGGGTAGAAATGATGAGCCATAGAAACTGAATCAAGAGAAAAAGAAAGAAAAGAAGACAAACATTTTTATAGGAAGCCACACAGTAAAATCACCTTTTATCAGAAACCCAGGATAGAATGTAGAGAGGCTGCAAAGGACATATTTTCTCTTTGGTTCTTTGATATCGTTTGTTAACCAAAAACTTTGAGGTTGAAGAAACACCATTTGCACAGAAATGGAAGCCCATGTATTTCAGCACCGCTTCCCTGCAGAGGCTCCTTATGCTGTCTCTGCTATATAGAGATGGTGCAGTACCAGCTCTTCATCTTGCCCAATATGAGGTGACTGGGTTTCGACCAGTCTCAGTGGCCACAGCTACCACCTCACTTAAATCCGGGTCCCAGAGATCTCAATGCCAGCAAAATCAGGAGTTAACTACAGTTTAGAGATCTATCTGTGGCCAGTGCTACATAATAGTACCTTATAAAAACTGGAGTAGAAGAATTCATTCTTTATATCTTGTGCAGCCGGACAACTCTGTTACCAGTTATGCTATGCTTACTGTGAAGCAGCAATTCACAAATTTGATGAATGTATGAATCACTAGGGAGTCTGGAAAATGTAGGTCTTGAAGCCCAAACCCCAGGGAGTCCAACCCCTTAGAGTTTGATATGGGGCCCAGGAATGTACAGCTTTAAAAACTATCTCAGGTGGTTCTGATTCATACTTAGAGAAACACTACTTTAAGAAATGTATACAGTTTTCCCTTTCCTTGGAAGCAAATGTTGCAAGGGGATGGGCGGAAGGGAAGAATACCAGTGAGTTAGAGTTCAGTGAAGCTGAAGGTTCCTTTACAAGAGTGGTTTTCACACTTTAGCCTGTGTCAGAACCACCTGAAGGGCTTGTTAAGAAACAGATTTCTGGACCCCACCCCCCAAAGTTTCTGATTTGGAAGGTATGAGACAGAGCCCCCAAATTTGCTTTCTAACAAGTACCCAGGTAGTTCTGAGGCTGCTGGTCCAAGGACTGCACTTAGAGAAACACGGGTTTACATTTAGGAGGGTATAATTACCTTTTCCCAATATGAAGGATTTCGCTTTATGTTCTATTATTTTTTCTAACAAATACCCAAGTATTGGGAGAGCAAATGATATTTGTTGAATCCCTACGATGTTTCTTTCTCTTTTAATTCTCAAAGAATCCCATCAGGGTAGGTTCAGAGAGTTTATGTAATTTACTCAGACTCTCCCAAATGATAAGTTGAATCAGCATTCAAATAACAGTTCAAAGGACATGTCAGTCCCTTTCAAAATCGGAGTCTTGTAAGTCACCCCATCAGCAAAGTAAAACAGTAATTGCAAAGAATCCAGATCTTATTTCACTTGGTGCCAGTTATTGGCTGCTTTCAAAGTGGGGACAGAGCATCCTGCACAACCACAAGTGGACTGTAAGCACTGTGATTTTACAAGGGGGCAACTTGCCTTTCTGCCAACAATCCCAGCCTGCTGAGAAGTGTTGTGCTAGGGAAAATCCTTTGGTCAAATAATCAAATGACTTAGAAGTGAATCCTGGATCAGCCACTGTAGGTTAACTTTGGCAGGTTTACTGTATTCATAAAACTTGAAACCTAAGACTGTGCCACAGGCTTTAAAAAAAATCAATAAAAAACATTTAAAATAGGATCTTACCTAGTATCATACACCCCAGGTTTTTAAGATGTTAACAGATGTCAGATGAAATGGAATCTCAAGCTGCTCCATTAGGTATTTCTGGTGCTTTCTTTTTCTCACTACCCATAATTCTTAGTGTTTGAGTCATACATTTAGGCACATTTGATTCCACTCAAATTAACATATTCTAATATTCAAGTTTACATATATGAACATTTACTAGAGTGTGAGGCACACAGCAGGTGTATACCATCCTCTTTCTTTATATTATTAATATATAGAATAAAATAATTTCCATATTATTTAATGGCTTACAATATGGTAACTTTTTCTTCCAGGAATTACAAGTTCAACAAAGGTGAGGATATCATTACATACTTCATTTTAAATTCCTAATTTCACCTAGTATAGGGCTGAACTCATAGTATGTATTCAGTATCAGATTGCCTAAGTTTAATATATAAAGCTTTATAGGGAATCTGTATGTGTCGGGAGCATATATGTCAGTAAGATGCAAGAATAAATATCCTAGTAGGTGAAAATTGTGAAAAATGTGACCCCGCTTTGCATAGTCATGTAATTAGAAGAATTACAGAAATATAATTTTGATTTTATGATTAAAATTCGGTGCTTAGATTTATATATCCAGAAACTAAAAGTGGTTGGGATTTGAACATTAATATAATTTCTCAACTAGAAAACTTGTTTAGAACAAAGTATACATTTACCAACTACAATCACACTTGGTAAATATAAACAGAAACGCCATGTATATATGAATATATAAATATATATAGTAAATATATATAGTATCTACAATGCTTGGTTTCTTCAAATACTCTGAACTGGATACACCATGCATGTTATTGTGCCTAAGAAAAAGCAATAATATAATATTTATTAGAGTTCAGGAAATAATGTTATAATCCTGCTAATAAAGTTAGCACTGGGACTTGAAACCAAACACTTTTGAGAATGATAAAGTTTACGTTTAATGCGAATAGATTAGAACTTCAAGTATGCAGGCCAGCAATATAAACAAAAGGACTTCAAAATAACAAGACCGCTAATTATGTATAAAGGCAGATGATATCACTAAGTATTACCTGCTCAAGATTCTCCATTTTCTATTTTCTTAAGTGAAAGTAAGCAATTTTTACTAAAACTTAAGTATTGAAATATACTAAAGGTGGCACTGTTGCTTCATGTTAACCAGAGGCCAAACTTCCTAAAATTTTATAATAGAAATAGCCTAGGTTGTACATAGCCATATTTCAGGCCTTATATTTTATCATGAGTTATAAAGATGTAAACTTTTGAAAAAAATTAAATTATATATTTAAAAAAATTATATATTTTATTTCTCATATAAATTAAACATTGAGTTTAAATCAGTAAATAGGGCAACATTTCCATTTAATCTACATAAAATTTTAAATTGGGTCATCAATGTACAAATGAAAAAAACACTTCACCAATTTCTGTTTGATATATTTATAATTGAAAAGCAAGCTAAGTGAATAATTTTAAGACATTAATAACTTAATTTCTCTAAAATATATCACACTCTTAAGGTTAAAGTTTGTAGGTTATGAGTTGTAAATATAATTGACAAGTGGAAGTGGGCATATTGATATGTTTTAATTTAAACAAATTGGCTAACTAAAAAAACACATTTATAAACATGAAATTAGAGAAGGATTATTCTGAATTCAAAAGCCACTTAACTTTCAAAAAGATTGACACATATTCTTTCAAATAGATAATTTTCCTGGTTCATTTTAAATACAATTCAATCCTGAATTTCTTTTCTACTTTCAGCAAAAAATGTATTAGGTGACACAAGGTGTCATTTAATTTTAGCAGCTGATCATTTCACACATAAACTTGTCAAATGTGATGTCAAAAAAGAAGACATATAATTATTCCTAAAGACTTATTTTCTAGTTGGAATACACAATAATGATAGAGCCATTTTTTGAAGTGCTACTAGGTTCTAGGAACTTTATATATATTATCTTGAATCTTCCAAACAACTTTGAAATAGAGGAGTTATTATATAATATAGGGGTTATTCTAATTTTGCAGGTGATAACCCAGTTTCAGGTAGTGGAATGTACAGTAGTTAGCCACTCTACTGTATTTCTCCATTTAATGTTAACTTCCTTTTAAAAACTTAATTCATATTATTAATTTTGTACCATAATCAAGATCTACATTTTACATTACTCTAGTTCATAAATTATACTACCGTGTTCCGTTACTGAAAATCCACCTGTGTCGGACAGTTTGAACTTGAGAAACGTGCATTACATTCCCAGGACTTATTTATCGTGTAACTGGAAGTTTGTGCCTTTTGAGCACTTTTACTCATTTTCTATGTCCCGCAGCCACCTCTCTGGCAGCCACCAATCTGTTCAATGTTTCTATGAGTTCCATTATTTCAGATCCCACATGTAAGTGAGATCATACAGCATTTGTCTTCTCTGTCTGACTTATTTTCTCTTATCGTAATGTCCTCGAGCTTCATTCATGTTGTTGCGAAAGACAGGTTTTTCTTCTTTTTATGGCTGAATAATATTCCATTGTGCATACCTACCACAATTTCTTTACCCATTCATCAATCAGTGGACACTTGGGCTGTTTGCATGTCTTGGCTATTGTAAATAATGCTGCAATGAACATGTAGGTGCAGATATCTCTTGGAGATAATGTTTTCATTTCCTTAGGATATATACCCAGAAGTGGATTTGCTAGATAATACGGCAGTTATAGTTTTAATTTTTTGAGGAAACTTCATCCTCCATCCATAATGGCTGCACCAATATACATTTCTACTAACAGTGTACAAAGTGTTCCCCATTCTCCATATTCTCGCCAGTACCTGCTACCTCTTATCTTTTTGATAATAGCCATCCTAACAAATGTGAGGTAAAATCTCATTGTGGTTCTGAATTACATTTCCCTAATGTTTAGTGATGTTGAGCATCTTTTTGTGTGTCTGTTGGCCATCTGTATGTATTCCTTGGAAAAATGTCTATTCAGGTCCTCTGCCCAGTTTTTAATTGGATTGTTTCTTTTTTTGATATTGAATTGTATGAATTCTTTATATATTAACCTTTTATCAGATATATGGTTTGCAAATATTTTCTCCCATTCCATAACTTGCTTTTAATTTTATTGATGGTTTCCTTTGCTGTGCAGAAGCTTTTTAGTTTGATGTAGTCCTACTTGTTTATTTTTGCTTTTGTTGCTTATACTTTTGGTATCGATACCAAAAAATCATTGTTAAGACTGATGTCAAGGATTTTATCCCCTATGTTTTCTTCTAGTTTGTAGTTATATACAAATTTTAGGATTTTACTTTTTCTGTGAAAAATGCCACTGTAATTTTGATAGAGACGACATTGAATGTACACATGGCTGTGGGTAGTACAAACATTAGAAAAATATATTGGATCAGAAGCCAGACCTTCAGGCAGTAGCTTTTAAAGTATGCAAATAGACCTTTCAGGGAAAGACTAGGAGATGGGCAGTTCTGTCTGCTGTCTCTGCACTGAGCCCTGGAGGCCAGAGCATCCTTGGAAGCCTACTAAGAACTATTTGCTATAGTCTTATGGGTCTTGGTGGACAAAACCCCATTGGCCTTTAGAGCTAGGTGTTTTGGGTGCCAGTCACTCACGTGGAAATTTTAATAGCTGGAGCACTAGACGTTCAGTCCAAACCCTTTGCTTTGGGTGTTGTGAGTTCCCTTCCAATTGTATGTCACTATGCTGGGTGTGGGGTTTATGGCGAGAGTATATCTCAACCTTTACGATACGTTTTGGTGTGAGTTTTTCCATTTGCTTGATGTGTAGGAGGTAATCAGCTGTGTATCTGTTTCTATGGGAGGAGGTAAACTCAGGAGCATCCTATGTCACCATCTTAAACCAGAATTCAGTTTTCAACTCTTTTGTGTAAATACTAAAGAGCACAGTTACTGGTTACATAGTGTCAATGAAAAATTAATTAGTCGATCTAAGAAAGAAATGGAAAAGATTTTCGAGTCAAATTCAGGATTATAACCCAGGAATAGCATTTCAGAAAGCTCTGAAAACTGTTCCACCCATTAGAAGTCAAGGCATAGTTATATAAGGTTTTTGAGACAGAGGGCTGTACATTAAATGATGAATTATTGACAGTTTACACAATCCAGATCTAAGCGTCATCTTGTCCCCTTACAAGATCAAGAAGGAATGTTATCCTTTAGGAGTTGTCTTGTTGATGCCAGGAGAATGTTGCTTTTTATGGTTGAGCAGGTATTTCTGCTGATGGGGGAGGTTTGGTAGATGTATAATGCAGATGCACAATGCACAGTAGAGGGGAGACAGGAGACCAAAGGGCAGAGAACATTTTTTATGTTCACATTTTTCTTGTCATGCCACACAATGTGAATTTTATTTCACAACAGTAAATGCATTTTTAGTTTCATAAGAAACCATGCACCTCATTGTTCACTGCAGCACTATTTACAATAGCCAGGCTATGGAAGCAGCTTAAATGTCCATCGACAGATGAATGGTTAAAGAAGATGTGGCACATATATACAATGGAATATTACTCAACCATAAAAAAGAATGAAATAATGCCATTTGCAGTGACATGGATGGACCTAGATATTGTCATACTGAGTGAAGTAAGTCAGACAAAGACAAATATCATATGATATTGCTTACATGTGGAATCTAAAAAAATGATACAAATGAACCTATTTGCAAAACAGAAATAGAGTCACAGATATAGAAAACAAACTTATGGTTACCAAAGGGGAAAGGGGGTGGGGGTGGGTAAATTGGGGGTTGGGGATTAACATATACACACTAGTATAGATAAAATAGATCATCAACAAGGACCTACCTACTGGATAGCACAGGGAACTCTACTCAAAACTCTGTAATGACCTATATGGGAATAGAATCTAAAAAAGAGTGGATATATGTATATGTATAACATTCACTTTGCTGTACAGCAGAAACTAACACAACATTGTAAATCAACTATACTCCAATAAAAATTAATTAAAAGAAAAGAAACCTTGAAACTTGTCTTCCAACTTGGCTGTACCATTTTGTATTCCCGCTATCAATGTATGAGAATTCCTGTTGCTCTGTATCCTCACCAGCTTTTGGTGTTGTAGTATGCTCTTTTGTATTGTATAGTTTTATTTTAAAAATAATGTACATATGTTAATTTTTATGATTAGGCAGTCTTGCTTAAAATTTGAAAAGAATATACATTGAAAATACTCATTCCTTCAGATTTAATTATTATACTGCATAATGTGATATAGTGCTTAGGAGTAGAGGCGATTTCAGATTTTTTTTTTTAGTCTAAAGCATCAAACTGTCATTTCCTTCTCAGGAATATTAAGAGTAGTTTACATTTTAAAAAATAAACCTGAATCTTCTTTCAGTAGGAGATTCCCCTTCTTTTAAATATTTTTAAAAACTTATATTTAAAGTTATACTTTCCCCAAAACTTGGACAAACATAATTTTATAACTAGAAAAGTTTCCTGTACCTTTGTTAGATAATCATCTAGTAATTTTTACTAACTGGACAAACTTTGTTTAAACTAGGCCTAAACAATCATATATTTTTGGTTTTTATAAACCAAACAGCAAGATTTTGAAACATGTAATCAATTAACAGAACAGGAAATGCCACTGGATTAAAGTACAAATTGTAAGCAATAAGGTTTTAATAATTACATGATAAATTTATTGTTAAATATTTCTAGAAGATGTAAAACACATGAATAACATTTAGGGTGACATACCTTTGTTATCATTTTTCTCTAAGTCTTTTAGTGCTTGAACAAACATCTGTTGACTTTCAGTGAGAGGCCAACTGTTATACAACACCAAACACTGTATAATATACTTGTATACCTAGGAAATAAAATGCAATAAACAATTAACAATAAAAATAAACATAGGATTTTAGGCACATAATAAATGCATATTTTCTGGATCATATAATAATACTTTAATTAGATACTGTCAGATGTTCTCCAAAATTCTATAATACCACAGTGTATAAAAGTTTATCCTCACAACCCCACAAATACTTACCATCATATATTCTAGTATTTATAACTTTTGCATTCATGTTTATAAATGAAATTTACTTATTTTACTTTTGCTACTTATCAGTTTTGGAATCAGAATTACATTAATCTCTTAAAAAGGATTGGAAGGTTTGTATTTTTTTTTTCTGTTTTCTAGAACAATTTACTCCTTAAAAGTCTGTTAGATCTATCCTGTAGAGCAGTTAGGCCTATAGCTTTTTGGAAAGGTAAGACTTTGATTATCATTTCAGTTTTATTATTCTTATTTATTCTTATTATTTTATATTTTCTTTTTTTTAGTGGAGCAGGTATGCCATTCCTCCCCCAACTCCAGGAATTTTACATTTGAAACAATTTTTGTCAGTTTTAAATTGCTAGTATAGAGTTGTATATAATACTTAAAATGTTTTTAAAACCTGTTGTTTGCATTTATACCTCTATCCTAATTTTTTGTTCTGTATTTGATTTATTTATATTTTCTTTCTTTTTTTCTTACTTGATTAGTCTTACAAGAAGCATGTTTACTTTATTAATCTTAAGAAAGCATAGGTTTTATTAATTTTCCTAAATTTTATTCCCCATTTCATTAATTTCTACTCTCATTTTTATTAAAACTCTTTCTTATTTTTGAGTTATTCTTTTACTCTTTTTCTAACTTTTTGTTTTAATAGCTTAGTTCATTTGTTTAATCATTCATACTTTCTGACGAATTAATTTGAAAGTCAACATTCCACTGAATGCTACTTTAGATGTGGCTTACAAATTTTGATTTGTAGTTTTTTATTTTTATGGAGTCCTTTGTATTTAATAGTTTCTTTTTTAATGATTTTTTTAAACTAAAGAATTATTTAGTATATTTCACTGTGTCTTCACATTTATGGGATTTTAAGCAGTTAATTACTAATTACTATTGCATTATGTTCAGATAACATTTACACAGTATAGTTTGGTTTTTATTGAGGCTTCCTGTGTGCTCTATGAAAAAGTATATTCTCTTTTATTAGGTGGAGTGTTCTATATAGATATCTAAAAGATTAAGCTTCTACTTAATACTTCATATCCTAATGATCAAATATATTGTTTTTCAGCTTGATCTACTTGTTTCTGAAAGATATGTGTTAAAATATTCAACTCAATTGTTAACTTATTTTTCTCTACAGCTCTAATAGTTTTGCTTTTTATTTATTGAGTCTAGGCAGTGAGATGCCTATATGTCAGTTATGGCCATACTGCTTTATTTTTCCTTTTATTTTTGTATAATACCCCCGTGAATCCTATGTATTGAGATATTAAAATATCATCACAGCTCTCTTTTGGTTGAAGTTTAAACTTTCTGTGCTATTTTGTTTAAAAGTGTCACCTTTAGACTACTTACAGTTGGATCTTATTTTTTATCTAATGTTAAAAATTTATCCTTCTAATTGATTAATAATCCATTTGCATTTATTTTAATTACTGCCATATTAGGATTTATTTTTGGCATTTTGTTTTTATTTCTTTTAATTAGTTAATTTATTTTCTTGGTTTTCAATGGATAAATCATGTTTTCTTTTGCTGCCTTAAATTATATGCATTGTCCTTTATTTCTTCAATTTAAGGCACATGCAAATATGTTTTTCTTAATATATGACCTTTTTCAAAGTCTCATAACCACTAACTCATATATAATGTAAGATAATAAATCTACATTATAGGGTTAGTTTAAAAATTAAATTTATCACATATTTTAAAATCTTGGCACAGAGAAAATTTTCAATAATTCTTCAATTCTGGTTATACACTAGTGGCACTACATATAAAAAGTATTATACATGAACAATTTTTAGGAAAATAATTGTTGCAATTTATGTTAAATTTTTATGAGCAGTACCATTAAATAATTCTTTTAAATGTAAATTACCTGCTGTGGTGTGCTAGCATTTTCTTCTATAGTGGGTACAGAGATAGTTTCCTCATCCAAAATAGGCTGACCAGTGTCTACTATTGCACTTCCAGGTCTTTTATAGGATTTATGACCTCCTGGGGCAGATTTCTTCTTAACGTAAAATTCTTGCTCTTTCTTGAATGAAGCATGAGTTGAAAGAATTTGCTTGCTAGCTGAATATGAGAAATATTAGGATTAAGTTAAGATATGTGGAATGCATAGTTATTACTGACTGTGTTATTTAGTTATATCCTTATAGAACACTCAAAGGGACAGGTCAATTTGTTTTGTTTTAATGAGATAAAAACCAACATCACTGGCTTCTTGGAAATATTCTGGTCTTAAAGAAACTTAGTGCAATGGTATATGACTTGCATAGAGCAATGCATATTCTGAGCCACCACTGATTGATAAAAGATTATACAACAATTCAACAATTTCTCATTCATTCTGTGCCGCTCGAATGACAATAAACTAATACCACACACTTTGACTTCTTCAGCGTTTAATACTATGTGTGTGTATGTTACTGTAATTTTTAATTTTTACAGTCATTATTTCTTAATTAACAGATAATATAAATACCATTGGAAGGGATACAAATAGATATGTGCTGGATGTTAATTAATTCATCAAACATGTATTGAGGAAACATAAGTGAAGCACACAGGGAAATTCGGATTCCAACCATGACAGAATAATGGTCATTGGATTTATTTTTATACCACAAAAATGATAAATTTGGACAAAATGCATAAAACAACTGCTTTAAGCCGGAGGACAATAGACAGCCCAGGACTGTGATCCTTGAGAGAAGGGCAATATTCAAGATGATCTCTCCACTTTCCCACATTTCTGCCCGTGAAGATCTTCTCACCCATGGCACAGGGAAATAGAGTTCAAACAGTGAACAGCTGTGTTGTCAGATTTAGGAAGCAAAGATTGGAATTTGAGGCTCCTGAGACAATTAGAATTTGTGAGGCAGGGTACCAGAAAGCAGGCATCTGAGCAGCAAAGGAACGCACAAATATGCATAGGGGTCTACTTGAGTCTTTAGCTGAATTTTAAACTTCGTTTGTACAAATACCTAACGATGCCTGGTAGACATTACTGGAAGATTGTGAGCTTAATGGAGATTCTGAAGGTTGCAGTGTTGAGCTGAGAGACATTGGAGTTCTGCCAAAATGAAGAAAATTTAATGAAAACACAGAGCATTCAGCTGAAACTCAAGAAAGGCTGTTCTTTAGAGCTACCCTAGCCCTGGAGTAATGGAAACTCTAGACCTGACTTAAGAAAGCTTAGAACAAAGTTTTGATAGGATTAAGCTAAACTGTCAGTAAACTGTCTGCCAGAACAAAATTCAACACTCTTTTGATGAAGACAGCATAATCTAGAGTCTTGGTAATGTAGCAAATACAATGGACAGTGCACAATGTAACCAATAGAAAAAAGTCAATAGAAATACCCTTAGAGCTGACACAGATGTTGGACTTAGCAAACAAGGACTTTAAAATAGTGATTAAAAATGTGTTTAAGGATTTAAGGGAAAAGGTTGACATAATGAAAGAACAAATGGTGAATATTAACAGAGAAATGAACTATATAAAAAATAAAAAGAAATTCTAGAGCTGACTATAACTGAAATGAGACATTCATGGATAGACTTAAACATTGTCAAATTTAGAAGAAAAGATTAGTAAACTTGAAAATAAGCAATAGAGATGATCTAAATGGAAACAAAGAATAAAGAAAAAAAAACTGAACAGAGGCTAAGTGACCCATGGTACAATACTGTAGTGGGTGGAATAGTGACCCCCCCCCAAAGACATGTCCACCTAGAACCTCAGTATGTAACCTCATTTGACAAAAGGGTGTTTGCAGCTATAATTAAGGTAAGGATTCCACCATGAGATCAACCTGGATTAAAGAGGACCCTAAATCCTATGATGAGCATCCTTAAAAGAGAAAAGGAGAAGACACAGATACACAGAATGAAAGTCATGTGAAGACAGGGGCAGACATTGGCACAGATATGCTCTCACAAGTCAAGAAATGCCAGGAGCCAACAATGGTTAGAAGAGGCAAGGAAGGATTCTCTCATAGAGGCTTTGATGGAGATATGGCTCTGATAACACCTTGATTTTGGACTTCTGCCTTCCAGAACTGTGAGAGAATACATTTTTGTTGTTTCAAGCCACCCAGTGTGTGGTAAATTGCTACGGCAGCCCTAGTAAATGAATATAGCTATCAAATGATCAAATTTATGTGTATTCTTAGTCCTAAATGGAGCTCCTATAGAAATAAAATACTTAGGTATAGATTTAATAAACTATCTGTAAAATCTGTACATTGAAGGTTTAAAGCATCATTGAGAGAAATTAAAGATATACTGTGTTCATGGACCAGAAAACTCCATTTTGTTAAGATGCCAATGTTCCCCAAGTTTAACACAATTCCAGTTAAAACCTAAAGCAATAAACTGTGTGGTCTATCCATACAATGGACTAAATACTCAGCAATATAAAAAGGAATGGAGTAGCAACAACATGGAAGTATCTTAAAAACATTATGCTGAGCAAAAGATACCAGTGCCAAAAGAGTATTTACAGTTTTCCAATTTCATGAAGTTCTAGAAGAGACAAAACTAGTTTATTGTTATGGAAATGTGAACAGTGGTTGCCTCTTTGGGGATTGGGAAATTGAATGGAAATAGATTGAGGGATTTTTTCTGGGAAATAGAAATGTTCTATATCTTGTTAAGAGTATGAGGCATACTGGTACATTGCACTTATCAAAACTCATCAACTTAGATTTGCACTTCCTGCTATATGTAAATTACCCTCCAATAAAAAATTAACAATGAATGACGAAGTCCCTATCCTTGTGAATTCCTTCATTACTTCCTTCAGACATTTAGTTATTCATTCATAACCCACTTGTTATCAAAAATATTGGAAACAAATATAAAAAAGGAAAAAAAATTTCTTAATATACGATAATCTACATGTAAATTAGGAGAAAAACAACTAATTCCAATAGAAAATGAGCAAAATACTCAAATTTTTCAAACAAGGAAATATTAAAGGAGGATATATAAGATATATAAAAATATGCTTAAACCTCATTAATGATAAGTGAAATATAAATAAATCTTTTTAGCATTAAAATTGGAATGAAGAAATATGAAAAACCAAGAAATATGATACCTTACTGTCATTCAGGGGAGTATGGATAAAATAAGGTAAATGTACACAAACTCAATGGAGGGCAATTTGACAAAATCTACCTAAATCACTACTGCATGTACCCAATGACCCAATAGTTCTAAGCATTTATCTAATATATGCATATACATGTTCAGAAAATTATATACTCAGATTTTTTTTTAATTCAGCACTGTTTATATAAACTAATGATTAGAATGATCACAAATCACTATCAGTAGGAGACTGGTTATATTAATTATATCATCAACAAATTTGAGAAATAAATGAAAATAAAATATTGAAATAAATGAAATAAAACATTTTACTATTATTTAATCCATAGTACTTCCTCAAACCCTCAATTGCTTAGATTGCAAATTTTGTGGGAAATTAGAAATTTTGTATTAATTCTACAGAATGAGTACTGGTATAAGATATTATGCCTGAAAATTATATAAGATATGTAGACATTCTTTAAAATTCCCATGAGATAGTACAAAACCTAAAGAGGCTCTTATTTAAGATTTTGTTACTAGCTCACTTCAAAGCCTTCAACATCTTTGCAATGGAATTTATTTCTTCTTTAGTACCATACAATGTTTGCTTACAGAATATATACTGTAGTCTGTCATGTCCTGTTGCACTACAAATATAATACACACACACATTTTTTTGCATGTACTTTTGGTGGGGTACCCCAGAAATACATGTAGTAAAAAATTCTTGTGTTTCCAAGAAAAGCATCTGAAAACTGTTTAGAAAGAAAAAGAAATTTCAGTGTCTGCTTGTGTAATTCATAAACATAAATAGCATCCCTTTAAAAATAATATCCTGTCTGAAATCTAAATAAAGAAAATATCTAATTCACAATTACTACTCTATCAAAGTCTATGGAGAAATTTTTCAGTCTTTTCTGTGAAACACAACAAAAGTCAGGAATAAATGGAAAGAAATTTACTTGCATACAAATTCAATACTATGAAGTTGTCAGTTTTCCTTAAACCAATTTAATCTATATATTCAAGGCAATCAGAAGGAAATGATTTTTTTTGGTTTGAGGGGAAATTTTTAAAAATTGTATTAAAGTTCATCTAGAAATACAAATATGAAAATAGAAATATCTTGTAAAAGAATAACAATCTTGGATAGTGACTCTAATTTGGGGACAATTTCTGAATTATGTTCCCATTATCTTTCTACTCCATTTTGCTGTCACTTTCTTTGCCAGAAATAAATTCATAACACTGTTTTAAATGTTTATGTATAATTCTCTTGTTAATGGTAATTTTTGCAGTGAAATAAGGATAAGCTATGTATAATTCTCTTGTTAATGGTAATTTTTGCAGTGAAATAAGGATAAGCTATGTGATCAACTGTAAACAGCGTTTCCTCTACGAATATAAATGAAAAGATCTGGAGAGTAATGCTGGAGGTAACTATTTATTTAAAAGAAAAAAACATGAGGCCATAAACAGAAGAGGAGAGTTGCACATTAGTGCTTGCTAAAGTGTATCCCTGCATAAAGTAAAGTAAAGTAAAATGTATCCCTGCATTTGGACTAGCAAAACATAACAGTACTCTAATGGTCTTAACATACCTGAAGAAAAATATATATAAATATTATTTTTTATTATCTGAAATTATCTGAATAAAAATATATAAATGGTGCAGGCAGATTGAATGAAAAGCCGCAAAGTAGTAATATGAACTAGTACTGAAAATGATCTAGAAGATTTTCAGGGATGAAAGGAAAACGAGGGGGAAAAAGGAGACATGACCCAACTTCTCTGGTGATCTGGTGGGTAGGACTCTGCACTCCCAATGCAGGGGGCCTGGGTTTGATCCCTGGTCAGGGAACTAGATCCCGCATGTGGCAACTAAAATGATCCTGCATCCCGCAACTAAAGATCCCGCACGCTGCAACTAAGACCTGGTGCAGACAAATAAATAAATATTTTTAAAAAACC